CAAATGTAAAGAAGAAGCAGGCTCTCAAATGAGATACAGATAAGAATGAAGTGAATACTCATCTCAATGTCTTGAGGCCTGAAATGTTAATGTATAAGAGACACTTGAGTAAGAATTGAGAGATGACTACAAAAGTGTTAACTGATACAGAAGCTTCTATATAATATATTAATAATTATATAATCTGAAGATTGAAAGAGATTCACTGAGTGAAGAATCTCTGATGCATAAGATTATCTGATAACTGATATTTAATATCACCTGTAAAAGTAAGAGTTCTCTTGCACTTTGAAGAATGATCTTGCTATATTTGAGCATGAGAGCTGCAGAACATGAAATACAATCTTATTCTCAGACTCAATTGATTTCAAAGATTCAATCTGCAGATTCAATGATGTACATATTATATACAGTTGACTGATAGGAAGAAAATGATTCATACAATTCTATCAACTGATATGAGAAGAACATTTCATGTCTCTGATATAGAAGGATTAAATCTGCTTACACACTAATAAGTAAAGAGAATGATTTATAAGACCTCATCTGAAAGTATTCTGTATATTATACAGAATCTGAAAGCAGAGGAAATTAAGATAAAGAATATACAGAAGAACAAGTGTATGAAGAAGCTTCTGAAGAAGTATGAAAAGATCTTCTGAACAGATCTTTCACTGAAATTATCACTGAAATGAGGATTTGTACATGAGATTGACACAGGGGATATAAAATCAGTCAATCAGAATGCATATTCTCTGTCATAAACATATCTTGAAGAACAGAAGTGTCAGATCACAGACCTTCTAGAACATGGTCTCATACAACTCTTATCAAGTGCATGGGGCTTTTTAGTCCTATTTGTGAAAAAGGCAGATGAAAAGTGACAGATGTGTATTGATTATTAAGCACTCAATAAGCTTATAATCAAGAATGAATATTCACTGCTATAGATTCAATAACAGTTGAATATAGTCAGAAACACTCAATATCTATCAAAGATTAATCTTCTCTCAGAATACTGACAGATTTACATAGACAAACTGTCAGTTCTGTAAACTGCATTTAATACACAATGAGAGAAGTTCAAATTTCTGATAATACTATTCAGTCTGATAAATGTATCTGTTATCTTTTAAACAATGATGAATACAATTCTTTATAAACAGAATGAAACCTTATATCTTATATAGCTTGATAACATTCTAGTCTTTTCAAACTTATATAACAAATATCTGAAGCATTTTAATAAAGTACTTATAACTCTGACAGAGTATAAGCTCTATATCAAATCAATCAAGTGTGTGTTTGAAACAGAAGAGTTGAAGTTCATAGAATATGTAGTGAGTGATGACTGTATATATCTCATTCTGAAGAAATTGAATGTTATAGTAAATTGACTGCAGCTGGGAAATGTACATTATGTATAACAGTTTCTTAAATTGATCTTATACTACTGCAGATTCATCAAGGATTTCACATGAATATCTGTATCACTCTCAGATCTCTTAAGAGAAATAGATGCAAATCTGTGAAAGAAGAAGTTTTATTCAATCATCTAAAATATTATGTGTGAAGAGGCTTTTCTCACACTGAGAGAATATATAACAATATTCTCAGTGCTTATTCAATCAGATTATAATAAATCTTTCTACATCAAGACAGATGCATCTGAATGAGCTATCAGAGACACTCTTCTACAGATGAGCAAGAATGACAAGCTGCACTCAGTGATGTATAATGATAGAAAACTATCAGACACTGAGCTCAATTACTCAGTGTATGAAAAGAAATTACTAGTAATTAAGCATGTGCTGATGTTGTGAAATAGATATATTAATAATAAGTATACAATAATAGTGATTATAGATCATGAAAGTCTCATCTATCTATAATTAATAATAAAACCTTTTAAATGCTTAGTATGTTGAATCTTGGAGTTTCAAGCATACAATCTTCATATTAAATACTGAAAGAGATTGAACACAGTGATGCCTGATACAATCAGTCACAGACCTGATTTCATGAGTGAGAATTCTGTGAACCAGGCACAAGAAATATTCACATTAAACACACTGAGAAGATGTAAGAAATTAGAATGAGTGAATATCATAATCTCTCACTTGAAGAATGACAAGGTGTCAGATAACAAGCATCTTGTGAGAGTAGTAGAAGAGATGCTTTCAAACTTCAAGCTGAGAAAATTAAGAAACAAAAATAATGTTGTGCTTTACCATGATCTAGAATACACAGAAGCTCTCTATCTAGAATCTTTATTTAGACATGACTTGATGACTCACATACACAAGGGATTCAGCCACTTAGAAAGCTCTGAACTCATGAGTGTACTCAAATCAAGAGTATACTGGCCAAGCATGGCTGAGAATATTCAGACATATGCTCATAAGTGTCTGAATTGCCAGGTCATAAAAGAATCTAAGAAAGGGTTAGAATGTGAGAAAGTGTAATATCAGATAAAGTGTATAATACAACTGTTCAAACAATGAGAAGTGAATCTCATAGATATATTACTGTGAATATCAAATGAAAATTGATGAATAATCACTGCTATTGATTACACTACTGGCTGGTCAGTCATAAAAGCAGTTTCAGAGACAATAGAGAAGATGATAGTGAAGTTCCTATATAATGAGATCTATGTTAACTATGAAATGCCGCGCGAGATTCTAACTGATAACAGTGCAAACCTTATGAGAGAAGCAGTGAGGCATTTCATAGGCCAGTTACAGATAAGATATTATAGAACAACATCATATCATCTGCAGATGAACAGAAAGATGAAATACTTGAATGAAATCTTGAACAACATGCTGATGAAATATCTAGTGAGCAAGTCTACAAGAATATGAGATGAATATCTTGAGCAGGTGCTATTGACCACACAGATTCAACAGCATGCAGTCTTCAAGTGTTCATTATTCTATCTGTTGTATGGATTGCATCCGCGCATCTCAAAGAATGCTTTGAAAAAGGTGAGAGAGAGAACAGCAGTTGCAGATGCAACAGTCACAGATGCAACAGTTACAGATGCAGCAGGAACAGCAGTTACAGACACAGCAGTAGCAGTTGCAGACACAGCAGTAGCAGTTGCAGATGCAGCAGTCGCGGACACAGAATCAAGATTGAAAGAGATCAGCCACACATGTGTAAAAGCTAATAAGTTACTTCTGAACTGAGCAATTCAATCAAAAAGAATACAAGACTCACTAGTTAAGAAATCAAGTCTCAAGATGAGAATGTGAGTTCTTATACATAATAAGAGTTCTGAGAAGTTTCAATCTAGATGATTTGAGTCATATAAAATACTCAAATCACATTCTCTGAGAATATACACATTGAAAGAATTAGAGAGACAGATCTTATATAACTTAATAAATAATTCACAACTTGTGAAAATAAAGATGTAAGACTTAAGTAGATTATAATTATTCACAGCACTATCATCAGTGTTGAAAAAGAAGAAGCTTATAATTAAAAAGTCTTATGAAGTAAGAGAAATCATAGATACTTATGAATCAGATGATCTCACTTATTTCAATAAGTTCATGATTATAAGAAAAGAATGAGAAGAAATGAAGAAATCAGATAGACATCACACTTTAATAAGTGATAAGACTGTAGTCAGTCATATAATAACACACTGCAGATAGCAGATACAACACAGTAAAGAGCAGTCTCAAAGCAGTAGACTTGTATATAAGTCAGATCACAGAAGAAAAAGAAATTCAGAGTTAGATTCAACTGTTTACATCAGTTCAATTGCAGAGATCACAGAGAATGAACTATCTGAAACATTCATAAACACATGAGATCAAGTTATCTCAACTTCTGAGAACACTCAGAGATCAGATAAGATTAGTTTCAATGAGCTGTTTACTGTAGTGATCTAAGCAGATGAAGAGAAACAGTATAATATATGAGACAGAATTATAAAAAGATGAAAGCTGTCAAACCTAGTCACTGAACACTGTACTATATAGAGATTACATAAGAATAGTGACTAGCAGATAAAGAAAAAGTATAAGAAAAGAAATAATGAATTAATCATCAACTGTAAGAGTCAGCTGTAAAAGATAAATGTTATTATACACATCTCATTCATTTTCATATATTATACATTAATCTATTTCCAATGCTACATCACCTGAAAAACATCAAAAATAAAGGAAATCTCAAAACTTGAGATCTGTAAGAAATTCAAGAGCTGTAAGCTACTCTTATAATAACACTGCACATGTCTCTGATTTCTCTATTACTCTATGTACAACATTAATGTCATTTATTGCAAGATTGGCTGGAATGTCAATATAGAAATGTGTACATGTATATATAGAGAAATTGAAGAAGAGTGCAGAACCTGCAGGACTAGAAGTCAGGGCAGGAGAAACAGAGATGAAAGAAACAGAAGAAGAAGAAGACACAGAATCAGATAAATGATGACAGAAGTCACTCAGCACTGAACACTTATAACTCAGTGTATGCATAACCTTCTCTACAGAGAAGAGAGAGAAAGTAATGAGAGAAGCTTAAGAATCAGAGAAAGTAGTCTTGACAGTGTTATCATTTTTGATTAGAATGATCTCTGACACTGAAGCAACTAAGAATCATTGTTAGTATATAAAAATTGCAAAAGTAGAAGTAATAATTACTAAATAAATACTCACTGATCTTAGAATTGTACATATAATTACAACATATATGAGGCTTCTCAGAAAGAGAGAGAGAGACATGAGAAAATGCAGAAAGTAGAACACAGTATATGAACAGCTCATTCTCACAATGATATCTCAGACAAGATGTATAAGCCTCACACTCATAAGTGTAAAAGAGTATGATATTTATATTCTCATTTCTGAAAACACAGATATCTTTTATCTGCATCACAAAGTCAGATAACAGATATTAGAGAATAGACTGATATAGATTTATCATTCTGAAGAAATTCATCAGAGTAAATATCTCTGTGATATTGAACTTTATAGTTATAAAAAGTTTCTTGATATCTGTGAATATCATGACTTTATATATAGTAAAACTCATAACAATTTTCTCTAAGAATAGAAAAATCAGCATTAGAAAGAAAAGATGAAAAAGAAAAAGACTTATAATCTTAACACTGTTGAAGAAGAGAATGATTCTCTGAGATAAATAGATAATTATCTCATTATAAATATTTAAAATGAATATAATAATCAGTATCTGTGACTGAGCTTTAGATAGTCATGTTGTATACTGTCTTTATATAATAGATTATTCTAGAAATCAGCAAGAAGAGCAGAAGTGTATATACTGAGAAACATAATTCACTGAGTCTACATAATATCTTCTTGAAACAGGGAGAGCTAGTAATAAAGGCAGAGATGATAAAACCAGAAGTAGTGAGAGTAGAGGTTGCGGGAACAGAGGTAGCAGGAGTGGGAGAACCAGACACAGAGACAGATGTAGAAGATTAAGAGAAAGTGGCAGAGAAAGAAACAGAGAAGACAGAGAGAGATATGAGAGACTCAGTCACACATGATACAGACAATTTCTTCATTATCATGTTCTTCAAGTTCTTGATCAATGATTCAACATTGAGTTCACTATTATTGACAGATATGAATCTGTCAATATATGAAGATTCTACATAAATAAAAACAACATATCAGTATCTGCATTTATGCAAAATTGTGTCAGAAAACATGATCAGAAACCTGCTGTGAAGAGAAATAGTCAAGAGTATATAAGAAGATGAAGAAGATGTATTATTCATAGTAGTATGTTCTGACAATTATTAGAAGATAACAAGTTCTGATCACATTTCACAACATGTTACACTTACTGCTAACAAACTACCTGGTATGAGTACTACAATAATACTTGTTATGGAAACAGAGAGTCATTGTCAGGAACGCGTACAATGTAATAGATGAACAGATAGAAAGAGTTGAACAGGAGAAGAGATAGAAACCTTGAATGATGATGACATTTGATAATGATGAAATGAAGAAGATGATTGAAGAATGAGAAAAGTTAGTGAATGAGTGATGTAATATAGTGAAAGTTTCTTTGTGAGAGTGTATGCAGAATACTAGCTGAATCAGAGATAGATCACACAATTATAAAACACTAGTGGCGAGCTAATCCGCATGAAGCTAGAGTGTATGACATGGTCACATGAGCGTGACTGAATCTGGTGAGAGAGAATGTGATTTGAAAGAACATACAACTGTCAGATAATAACACGGCCACTTCCAAACTACTAGTGTATGAATGTAAAGAGGGCCATAGCAGCCACTAATTAATTTAGCATATGAGATTCAATATATATAAGAAGCCGGCGTACGCCTGTAATCGTACACTGGCTTAAGAAATCTTTGAATCACATCATTCTGATTTTGAAAGAATGATCATCTTTCACAGTTTATTCTGAGAAATTACTCTCATTTCACTGTTCTTGAATTAAATCTAGTCATTTTTCACATCATTTCTCTCAGAAATGATTCATTTTCAGATTTTTTTAAGACTTGGTCCTGGTGAGACTCACATCAAGAAATGTATAAGGTCAGATTAAATGAGATTAAATGTGAAATTCATGGTCTCACTGGTCAGTCTAAGTGAGAAGATACTGATCTTTCTCTTAAGTGAGAAGATATATAGATTAATCAGTAGTTGAAAGCAATGTGTTCTGATCAGTTATAATTAATACACATCGCTATACATGTTATCTATCAGAACACAGCCAAAAACCGCTCCACCACGAACTCGCTCGATTTTTCGAATAAGAACCCGCCGATAGATCCATCGAAAAGCCCTCGATCATACGAGCATTTTGACCCCATCGCCGACTGCATACCCCGTGTGGTGGTGGAGTTATCCAGCCAAACGTGAACCAGACGTCGTTCAGAACTCCTGCGTGGGATTATCCCCCATTCTCCCCTACCACACCACAACCCCGGGCCAAATTGCCATACAAATTGTAAGGTGAAGAGACCTAGCCATATGCACCAATCTTCTCGATTTTGGAAGATCCCCGATCTGTAGTTGTGGAGATATCTGAGGAGCGACCTCCGCGAAAACCCTGTCCATCTTTGATGTTCCAAAACACCAACGCCAAGTCCCACCCTCGTACCGCCCTTCCCAATCTGGCCCATCCCCGGCAGAAAAATACAAAAAGATACCTCGGTGATAATATCAAGCACATAATCAACAGCCACTTCTGAAGTGCAACCTCCGCAGTCTGTCTTCAGTGTATCTAGACATCAATGCCAAGTCTCACCCTCGTACCACCCCTCTCAATCTGGCCCATCCCCAACAGAAAAGTACAAAAAGATACCTCAGTAACTGTACTTGATACATAATCAGCAGACACAACAACTATAAAATCAGTATATTTCAAGATCTGACTGAGCCTTTGATCCCTGCACAGTGAGATATATTAAATCTAGTTTTAATATCTCAATATTCAATAGATTCTGCAAGAGATTGAGAACAGCAACACTAGATTTCTATTGAATTTGAGAATTAACTCTATATTGATATAATCATTGACAAAGTCTTCTATTTTAAGATATAAATAACCAGTTCCTCTACATCCTGCTGGCAATATTTATATTATCATATAGAAACAGACTTATATTCTCTATAATATCAAGACTCTGAAGAGGGAAAGTCTTGATAAAGAGTATACAGTAGTGTATATCTTAGCAGTTTCTATCTCATTCTTCTGCAGCAGTTAATGCAAAAAAAAAAAAAAGATCTTAGAAATAGTTTTTTACTTCTCTTGAAAAAGTAAGGTGTTTTTCTCTGAGTTTTACACAATATTCTTACAAAGAATTAAAAACAGAGTTATTTTCTGTCATAATTTCATATTCTTTTAAGTAAGAATTACTTTTTCAGTGACTGAAGAGCTTTCATTAATACTTAATTCTTTTTTACACTCTTTATTAACTGATTTGAGTTGTACACTTGTTGTGTGAGAAGAATTGAATGATTTAGAATAAAATTGAATAGTTTTAATCAATTTCTCTGCAAAAAATTGATTTATTTTTTATCAGTTTTTCTCTTAAAAACTGTCATATCATCTGATTTATTATTAATTGATATCATACTTTTCCTCACTGTATCCCAAGAAAGAGATTGTAAAGATTTTATTGATTTATCTTAAAAATCAATTTTAGTTTATTAGATTCTCTTCAAAAATCTAACCTAGTTACTGAACTAGTATGAAAAAAATCAGGTGTTTTATACACAAAAGTCTTTTATTCTTCTTTTGAAACAGTCTGATCAACTTTTCAATTGAAAACAGACTTAGAAATATCTCAATTGAAACAGTCTGATGAACTTTTCATTGAGTGAAAACAATGAGTTCAAAAATACACTCAGTTGATGTGGAAAAAGATGCTTTCTCAAATGCTATTCCTGAGATTGAAATTCTGAAGAGAAGAAAGAAAGAAGAAATAGAGAAACAACAAGTTCTTGAAATACAGAAACTTGAAAAAGTAAGCAAGATTCTTGAAAAGCAGTGTCTGAGTGAGATGAATAAAGAAGTTCTGTTAATTCTTCATGCTCAGGCTAGATAACTACAGGAGATGATCAAGTTCAAACTTAGAATCTCAAACACAGTTCAAAAAACCTTGAAAATTCCTAGTACAATCACTGACTCTTCATCTTACTCTTCTTCTTCCTTTTTTCCTACTTCTTCTTCTTCTTTAAATCAGAAGAAAACATATGCTCAAGCAGCTGAATCTGCTGTCTCTAAACCTGCTATCTCAGAACCTGCTCAAAATCCTGAGAAAACTGAGAAGAATACTGCTCATGCCTCTATTCATAGAAAAGTGAAAAAGAAAATGCAAAAAGAGAAAAACTTTCAAATCTTCAGAAATAGAAGACTTATTCTCAAAGTCTCAAACCAGGACATTCTGCAAAGAAACAAGCTAAACTCAAATCTCATTTTCAGAATTAGAAATGAAATTAATCAGCAGTTCTTTTCTCAGTTGATAACTGATATTGAAGTTCAAAAACCAGTTATAGCTTCAATTGAGTTATTATTCTTTAAAAACTTCATCATTCTGACTTCAATGCCTGAATTCAGTGCTGAATTCCTTATTCAGAATGAGAATCTCTGAAAGTCAGCAGTAGAATCTTTGCTAAATACAATAATTCTATCTGAAAGAGATGAAAAGTGAGACAAATTCATTCTTCATAATATTTCAGTTGAAATTTTTGACTGTGAAGAAGGAATGCTACTTCTTAAAAATGAATTGAAAGAATACAATTCTATTCAACTGAGAAAGAAGCCTGTATAACTAAATTCAATTGAGTTCAGACAAAGCAGAAGAAATGTCTCTGTTCTAGTATATATAAAAACACTTGAACAGTCAAAGATCTCTGAAGTAAGAGTAGCAGGTTTGAAAATGAGAGTTTATAAATACAAAGACTCAAGAATGAATCTCAAAGCTCAAACACAGTGTTCAAACTGTCAAAGATATGAACACTTTGCAATCTCATGTTTTAGAGACTCAAAATATGTATTCTGTGTCAGAGATCACAAAACTAGTGAGCATAAATATGAAACATGCTCAAAAAGAGATGAAATTTGTCAATATACTCTGCTTAAGTACTCTAATTGTAAAGAAAAACATGCATCTAGCTCAAAAGAATGTATGTTTGCTCCTAGAACTCAAAAGAACTGAAGAAAAGATGAAGCTCAAAGTCAATCTAGAACTGAAGAGAAGAGTCAAGTCAGTAGACTTACAACTGCAAGCTTAAAAAGAAGAAACTCTCAACTATCTAAGTCTTCAAACTCCAATTCTCCAGCTAAATGTAAACAGAATTTGAATCCTCAAACTTCTATTAAGATTAGAGAATTAAGAAATGACTCTGATGATAAACTAGATATAATGTAAACAGTTGAGATTTCTACTTTTCAGAACAGTTATAATCTACTATCTGATAATAGTGATTAGATTCTACTCTACTCTCTTTTAGTATGAATATACAATAAAAACAACAAAAAAAGTTTAAAAACTCTTCAAAAATCACATTTATTCAAAATAATGTGAATAGAAACTCAAATTGTATTTATTCTTATCTTCAAATTACATTTGAATAAAAAGTTGATTTTATACTGCTTCAGAAGCCGAATTTTGATGCTGAGTAAAAATATATCATTTCTTATTCAAGCTACTACTGCTTTTTATCTCAAAAGTCTGAGATAAAGTCAAGAGTAGTGATCTATGAAAGAAAGAGATCAAGATATCAATTTAATCTAAGATTTGATATCATGTCTGACTCTGATATTCTGGTGAGTGATATTATAGATAAAGAAAATGAGTTTGATACTATACAGCTTATAAATATCTATAATGAAAAGTCATTGAAGAAAAATAACAATATCTGAACAATTGATAGAGGATTTCTGAACATAACTTCATCAAGAAACTTTATAATTGCAGAAGATTTCAATGCACATCATCTCTGATGAAATTCAGAATGCAAGAGAGTAGTGAGAGCTGATAATCTGGTTGAATGAATCTTTGAGCATTCAATAGATTTGATTAATAAGTCTGATTAACAAACATTCTTTAGAAAAGGTATGAAACAGAAGTCTATTATAGATCTAACCTTCATATCACAAAATCTAATGAAAAGAAGACTTGTAAACTGATTTATTAATTCAAATGAGACATCAGGATCAGATCATGAGATTATTCAATTTGATATTGAACTGAGTGAAAAACAAATGAGTGAAAATCCTCTTCTCTCTAATCAGTATAACTTTGAAAAAGCTGATTGAAAAGCAGTTGAAGAAAGCATAAAACTGTTAAAATCTGAAAGACAGAATGAGCTATATTGGAATTCTGGTCAAGATATCTCAAATGAAATACTTGAGAATAGAGTGAAGCTTATTACATCTATTATTCTAACAAGTGTTAGAGATAATATTTCAAAAAGAAAATCTTCTGAGTATTCAAAACCTTGATGAAATGAGAATATCTCATCTAAAAGAAAAGAATTAGCTACTACTAGAAGAAATTGAAAGAATGATGTAATATCTGATGAAGAGTTCAAAGCTATCAGAAATGAATATTTTTCAGATATTAAAAGAGTTAAAACAGACTGCTGGAATAAATTTCTTGAAGAAGCATAAGAAAAGGAAGTTTTTAAAGCTTTTAACTATACTAAAACAAGAAGTGTAGCAAAACTTCCAGCCTTAGAATATGAGTTTCAGAATGAATCATATACAGCAAACTCTTTTAAGGAAAAATGTCAAGCTTTCATGAGAATTCTCTTTCAGAACTCACCAGATTCAGATTCAGATTCAGAGAAAGAGAATATATCACTTCTCAACTACATTAATGAAAATAACTGGGAATGGCCTGATCATACACAAGATGAATTAGAGTCAGCTATCTTCTCAAGTTCTGTTAAAACTGCTGCAGGTCCTGATTCAATTAATCACTTGATTATTCAAAATACATATTTCTACTTAAAGAATGAATATTTTGAGCTCTTTTTCAATCTCTTGAAAAATGGATATCATTCTGAATGCTGAAGAGAAGCCACTGGAGTGATTCTTGTAAAACCTAATAGAAAAACTTCAATTCCTAAGTCATATAGAGTAATATCTCTATTGAACTGTCTAGAAAAGGTTTTAGAAAAGATAATAGCTACTTGACTATCTTTTATAAGCTCTATAGATGATTCTCTTTTATTCAGTGAATAAATAAGAGATAGAAAACAGTGTTCTGCAATTGACACTGTTCTCTCAGTTATTCATGATATTCAAATAGCAAAGCATGAGAGTCTGATCTCAACTGCAGTTTTTATTGATATAAAAGAAGCATTTAATCATGTTTCAAAGTCAAAGTTAATTCAGACATTGAAGATATTAAAACTGCCACTTTCTCTAATAAAATGAGTTAACTATTTTATATCTAAAAGAATTATACAACTCTTCTTTGATGGAATGAAATAAGATAAGACTGAGATAAAAATAGAAGTATCACAGAGATCTTCAATCTCACTCATTTTATTTGCAATATACACTGCATATCTATTCAAAAATAGAAATATAAGAATAGTGTGATCTCTGAGTTATATGAATGATATTGATCTAGTCTACAGCTCAAAAACTATCAAAGAGAATTTGAAAGTAATTAAAGAAGCTGCAAAGAAAATCTTTGTTAGAGTAGATATCAATCAAATTCAATTTAATATGAATAAAACTGAGTTAATTCATTTCTTTTCTAGATTCAATAAGAAAGAACTATCTCTAACTCTTTTAAATAGAGAGATTAAACCCAGTGTAAATGTCAAATAATTAGAAGTATGATTAAACTCCAAGTTGAATTTTAAATATCACATTCAATAAAGAACTGTCAAGGCAGAAAGACTATTGAACAACATAATCAGACTATTAAATACAGAGAGAGGTCTATTCTTCCAGACTATGAGACAGTTATATATAGCCTGTATTATATCAGTAGCTGATTATGAAGTTCAAGTTTGATGGAATAATCAAGGGAATTTCACTGAACTCTTTCAAAGTCTGTAAAACAGAGTCTTGAGAAGAATTCTGAGAGCATTTAAATCATCTCCTATTAAAGCAATGACAATTGAAGCTTCAATTCCTCCTCCTGCTATTAGATTTGAAAAGGCCTGTATGAACTATGCTCTGAGAGTTGTAAAGATGAGCTTAAATCATATAATCAGAGAAAGAGTCTCTTCTTCATTTTCATCAATTAACTCTGGAAATGAACTGAATTGGAATAGATTTCTTGATTGAAATGAAAATAATTCTTCAAAGAAAATGCCTTCTCAACTGTACAGACTATACTCTCTGATTAAAAATCAATTTTCTTCTTTAAATATTGAAAAAGTTGATCATGAGAAGTTATCTCTCTGAAGAGAAAAGCTTGAATCTCTTATAGACTTATAAATAAGTGAACTATTAAAAGAGAAAGAATATGAACAGCATTTGAAGAGAATTTCTACAATCAATATAAAAGACTCTATTCTGATTTATTCAGATGACTTCAAAAATGAGAATTTGAATAGATTAGATGCAGGTATTGCTTATACTGAAGATAATATTAATTTTATCTCAGATTTCTGAAATCTAGGCTCTGAATGTGAAGTCTTTGATACTGAACTATTTGCAATAGTGAAAGCTTTCAAACTCATTAAAATAAAATCTCATAAAAGAGGAAATTGTTTGAAAGAGATATGAATATTCTCTGATAGTCAAGCTACTTTAAAAAGACTTAGAAATAGTCAGATTCATAATGATCAAATGAATCTTGAACTGATCTTAAACTCTGTTTTGAAAATTCAAAAGAGAAGAATATCAAAGCTGATAATTCATCTGCACTGAATTCCTGCTCATATGAATATTCATGGCAATGAATTGGCTGATTCAGCTGTAAAAAAGGGTGTAGAATTAAGCAGATCTATTCAAAAAATTGTGTCCTGATCTTTTATGAAGAGAAAAATAAAAGAATCTTGTTTAGACAAGTGAAATGAAAGCTGGCAGAAACAAAAGAAGAGTATACATTATTCAAGATTTGAAACAAAACTCAAGTGAAAATCTTGTTCAATTAAATATAAAAAGAAAATATTCTCATCTATAATACAGCTGAAACTAGGACATGGCTATTTCAAATCTTATATACAAAGATTTAATGATAGATTTGACTTAATAGAATGCTCATTCTGTAATACAAATGAGAATCCTGAGCATATTATAATGCACTGTGCATTATACAATAGTCTCAGAGTCAGATTGAAAGAGAAGTATAATCTAAATCAATTAAATATGAGATTCTTATTCTCAACTGAGACAGGAATTAAATACTTAATAGACTTTCTATCAGAAACTCAAGCAGCTATAAGAAAATGGCTAAATTCAGAATTATCTGAATATGAAGAGAAGGAAATCAATCAGATGTAGTCTGTTAAAACAGCTATACACTCTCTTTTAATAATTTGTTTTGTTATAGTCTCTCTTTACTTTATCTTTTTCTTTATCTTTTTCTTTCAATTTCTTTCTATCTATCTATTTAATGTGTCTATCTTTGAGACTGTGTTCTTTTTCTCTTTTCTTTTGTTATGATATTGTCAAATGATTTCAAAGTATCAAAAGATGTTAAAACACTGCAATTTGTAAACAGTTTTTGTATTCTGAGCTGGAATTTTTTGATTTTGCATATCTGAAATTGATGAATGTATAATAGTTAACTTTACAGACATAGGAAAAACCCTGAGAACTAAAGTTCTCAGGTAGATGTCATAGTCTCTGACTGCATACATCTATAATTGAAGAATAATAATAATAATAATAATACACATCTCTTATTAATATTAATCAGTGACTTCTTCAGAAGTAATCTCAGAAACTTAAAAGTCTGTTCAGATAGCAGAGACTCTTGCTTATATATAGATATTTAAGTCTACTCAGTTTATAATATCTGTATAATTATTATTATTTCTCAGTGCAGATATATAAATAACTAAGATGTAATATTTTCTGTCACTGTTCTGTATACTCTTGAGCTTGATAAGATAATTATTTAATGTCTGAAGTTATACATAGAAATCTTCATAAGTCTGATCTTTATCTACACTTACAAGAGTCTGTAAGAGTTTGAAAGTTAATATCTTCTTAAGTATACTAATCTTTATTTAATTCTTTCAAGATTGATCATCTGCTTCTAGAATCTTGATATTAAAGTCAGATATGAATATTATAAGAGAAGTATTTCTCTGTCAGATACTCTGTAATCAATCTAATACTTTCTGTTATATAACAGTATTTCAGAACAGAATATTAAGATATTTAATAATATTATCAGATGTTTACAATACTGATTCACATACTTTTATTCATGATTGAAACTTCTGTTTCATGTGATCTTTCAATTATTCATTAATATATTAATCTTGATTAATTAGTGAACTGATGATATTTTTATCTACACTTAGTTTCATAAGCATTTTCAGTCTTCATGATGAGTAGAGAGTGAGATCAGAAGTATTAAAATATATAAGAGTATCTAAGTATTTCTTCAGCACTTGTATTATATTCATATTTAATTCTATCAGTGTTGAAATTGCAGAGATTTCTTTTTAAGTTAATTATTAAATTTCCTCATACTAATGTTATTGATTTATATATATATCAGCTATTTATTATTATTGTAATTTCAATATTACTTAAAGTCACTGTAATATTATATTTATACTCATATTCAAGAGTTCTTTCATGTTATCATTAAATATAATTATATCATTTATTAAATATGGAATATCTGTGAAATCTGAAGAAGTGTAATTATATAAATATCTCATATATCTAAAGTATCAGAACTCTTAAATCTTTCACTAATATTCTCTTTATAAGATCTTGTTACAGAGTCAGAGTAACTGATAAGCAAGCTTTTATTTAAGAACTTAATATTCACTTAACTGATTGATTATTTTTCTATTTCTTATATATTGTTATGCATTTGAATATCTTCTCAATAAGTAATCATTTCTAATAAGAAGACAATGAACATTTTTCAAGTGTGAGAGACTTATACTGAATAGATTGATATAATATTTATAGGTCTTATATAATAAAGTGAAAAATGTTAGAAAAGAAAAAGAAAGAGAAAGTACAGGAATCAGTGATTGAAATGAATATTTATATACATATGTGGTGGAGCTTCAAGGCGGAAGAATAGGAATTCCATGGGTTTTCAGCTGAGGATTGGCAACTGAGAATCGGAGCTTCAGCAGAGGGTCAACAACCGAGAATCGGGGCCTTGATAGGAATCTGTGGAGTGTAATGAAATAGTCTATATAATTGATCAGAGGCAGCCCGCCACAATTACGCTAGAATTAAATCTCAGTTAATATCTGATATTATAGAAGATTAATAGTAGTAGTAAAAACAGTTATTTTTAACTGTCTGATTATTAACTATTGTATGACTATATAGAGTTTTTTTTAAGGTTAAAATAAAGTTAATAATAAATATAAGTTAATAAAATATAATTCACAAGCAAGTCAGTCACATAATCAAAAGAGTTATTTGAATACATATATAAAATAAGTGAGTTTAATAAGAAGAAATATTTGTGAGAGCTGTAATCTCAGTGATAGTTTTGTTGAAATAGAGAGATTTAAATGTTATCACAAGTACAGAGTACTTGCATAGTGATATGAGTATAAGATTTGAATGTAAAAATAAACTGCGAGTCATCAAATCTAGATGAGGATCTCAGAGATATTAAATGAGGTGTAGTTTGTTGACAATTTCATACTAATTAATTGCTACCTATGAATAGCAGACTTTACTTTTAAAAGCATCATCCGTTAATTGCCCACAAAAATCGTGAATAAACTGGTATCTGCCCAGCCCGAGATCGCAGAGTACGAACAATCTCCACCGATCACGCCATTTTACGCCGGTTTGATTCCGTCCATTCTTTTTTCTTCCCTTCACTCGCTTCCCCCGCGATTGAGGAGATAGTTATATTTAGTCTGCTAGTTATATATTGGAGGGGCGGAATCGTCTTTCTTTCTCTCTCATTCTTTCTCCCCCGCTCTCGTGTCTGTATACCATACCTATCACAACTTTGATATACCACGATATACCACGATATATCACGATATATAACTCGCATTCGTTCCTTGTACTTGATATACCTCTCTGTCATTGTCTTATTCCCAAGATGGCCGGCGACGAAATCACTCAGCGCTTTGAGACGCTGCAATTGCATGCTGGGTAAGTAAAAATAACTCCTCCAAGCCCCGCCCTGTAACATAGTTATCACAATGTACTGTATATATATATCCCCAAGGTCACTAATGAATGCCATCATATCAGCTATACTCCAGATTCAGCCACCAACTCGCGCGCTGTTCCCATCTATGCTACTACCGTTGGTCTCCCAGGAATCCTTTCCTCCGTCCATCAACTAACTTGAGCCAGTCCTTCACCTTCAATGATTCCGCGCATGGCGCTCGACTCTTCGGCCTCAAGGAATTGGGCAATATCTACAGCCGCCTTGGCAATGTGTGTGACTATACATATATCCTAGCATTCTTCTTTGGAATTGTGTGGGGCAAAATAACGATACCAATAACAATGTGTACAGCCCACCGTTGAGGTCTTCGAGAAGCGTATAGCTGCACTGGAAGGTGGCGTGGCTGCCGTGGCCGCTTCGTCGGGCCAATCCGCCCAGTTCATGGCCATCGCTGCGCTCGCAGGCACCGGTGATAACATCGTCTCCACCACCAATCTCTACGGCGGCACCTACAACCAGTTCAAAGTCCTCCTGCCCCGTCTAGGTATCACCACCAGGTTCGTCACGGGCGATGATCCCGAGGACCTGGCGTCCAAGATCGACGATAAGACCAAAGCGGTCTACGTCGAGACGATTGGCAACCCGAGATATAACGTGCCCGACTTTGAGAAGATTGCGAAGGTTGCGCATGAGAAGGGGGTGCCGTTGGTGGTACGTCTTGTTTGCTCCCTGTAAAATGGAAAGCCAAGGGGCGGGGGCGGGGTGGAAGCGAGAGAATGTGAAACCACCCCACCACGCTCTTCTCATTCTCACCCCTCTCTCTCCTTGAACCGTGATCCAAAAAAAAAAAAAAAAAAAAAAAAAAAAAAAAAAAAAACAGGGCAAGAGATAGAGAAAAAATAAGCTAACTCTCGTGAAATGACCACAGGTGGACAACACCTTCGGTGCAGGCGGATACTTCGCACGCCCCATCGAGCACGGGGCGGACATCGTCGTGCACAGCGCCACGAAATGGATCGGCGGCCACGGTACCACCATCGCCGGCGTCGTCGTCGACAGCGGCAAGTTCGACTGGGGCAAACACTCCAAGCGCTTCCCGCAGTTCACCGAGCCGTCCCCAGGCTACCACGGCCTGAAAATGTGGGAAACGTTCGGTACGGCTACATTTGCTACCTTTGTCCGTCTCGATGTCCTGCGTGACCTCGGCAGCGCGCTGAATCCGTTTGCGGCGCAGCAGCTGCTACTGGGTATTGAGACGTTGTCGCTTCGCTGCGAGAGACATGCGAGCAATGCGATGGCGTTGGCCAGATGGCTAGAGAAGAATGAGAATGTCTCCTGGGTGTCGTATCCGGGCCTGCAGAGCCATCCTACCCATGAGACGGCGAAGAAATACCTAAAACGCGGGTTCGGTGGAGTGTTGTCGTTTGGTATCAAGGGAGGTGCGGAGGCTGGCAGCCAGGTTGTCGATGGGTTCAAGCTTATTTCAAACCTTGCCAAGTACGTCCTTTTCCCCAAAAAGAAAAAACAATGACCGATAATATTCTGAACAGCGCGGAATTTAAACTAACGGATATTGTAACAACCACAACAGTGTCGGTGACTGCAAGTCCCTAGCCATCCACCCCTGGTCAACGACACATGAGCAGCTCAGCAATGAGGAGCGAATTGCATCCGGCGTGACGGAGGACGGCATCCGTTTCTCTGTTGGCATTGAGCATATCGATGATATCATCGCGGATTTCGAGCAGTCATTTAAGGCTAGCAGCTCCCTGAATCACAAGACTACTTAAGATAAGTATACATATATATATACTTCATAGCTCTAACAGGATCAAGAGGTGATGGCGATGCACCTACTTAACCAGCAGAATATGGTTTATCCACGCTTGAAAAATGAAACGGGGTGGAATAGAAATGGGGGAAATGTTGAACTGGGGAAAATATAAGGGGTTCCGGTGCTGGGGTTTCAGGACCTCGCTGTATAGTCAGTTATCGCTCGCTACTACATACATACCTTCGAGAGGTTTTAACTAGGAGGTTAGACGGGAGGGTAAAATTTTGTAACTACAACGATGTTATGAAACGAAATGAAATGAATATTTTTTTTCATCCCCTCCGCGCCCCCCCCCCTTCCCTTCTTTTTTTCCCAGTGGAGGCACATGGCTACGCTACCTGGGTATATATATATTATGTAGATGTAATCGCGTACTCCAGTTAATTCGTTAATTCTTGAATTTGTAATCCTGATATCCCCAGAGCGGGAACATTGGGTCCTCTAGTTGCCTTTCTATTTATAACCTGCCAGGGAAATTGACACGCCCTACCAGTCAGTCATATTAGCTCATGAAATGATGGAGTCTGGCGGGTAACCTTAATGAGGCCTCCCCCTACGGTCCGGCTCCACGGAATGTTCTCGTTAATATTTATCTTCATTCTACAGCTTAAACAAACAAACTGTGGCGCGGGGTGGAGGCAAAACATGTTGCATATAAAAATAGGTGACCTTCTCCTCAACCTTGAGCCCTTTGATATAGCCGAGCTACCCTCGTGTGAAGTTCTACACCCAATTCGCAACTTTGCGAGCGACACTTCTTCACCCTTCATGGTTCACAATCTGCAACTGCATGGTGCTGATGCCAATGTCCTAGTTCCACGAAGCACAGTCCGAAGTCCTCGGCATCATAGGCTACGCTTGAGCCCAACGACACAAAAGAATGAAGGTATCCTGAACACAACCGACACCTGCGAGGAAAGAAAGGGAAAAAAAAAAAAAAAAAAAAAAAAAAAAAAAAAATCACTAGACAAGCACAGCACACGGGACAGGCAGCTGGTGACATCTTGTACATGTACAGTACATGTATTTCGACCCCCTCTCTCGACAAAACAGAGAATTTTGCGGAAGATATGGCCGACCATGCGTGGCTGGAGGCCTATATTTATTTATTTATTTATTTATTTATTTTTATTTTTATTTTTATTTTTATATATTAACAAAGGCTAGATGTCAGCGGGGTTGAGTTGAGGCTTCTAATACAAAATTGGCAACGGGATAACCATCTGATCTCTGATCTACATGATGTACATGTATGCACTGTTCATTAAAAATTGGATATGAGCTGGAGAGCTCCCCCTTCGAGTGTGAATGTGAATGTTCTTGCTTGTGTGTCTTCACAAGCGGTGCGAGAGAAAAAAAATAATTATCGAAAGCAATCAGCAATCTACCCGGCGCAAGACAATGTGTCTAGTCTATATCAGCCATTGAAAGCAGCATCACACCACTTTCCGCGCATGCCATGGCAGTTAGCAGCAGATCTCCAGCCCGTAATGAGGCTTCTCTAAAGAAGTAGTATACGTACCACGCATATCATGATATTGCTGAATGCTAGATTCAACGCCTCCAACAGACACAATGATCGCAGACCTTGGCTTTCATGAGTAAATCATGCATGTACCATGCAATGCCCGTTTGCGCTGAGTCTTGCGCCCAAGAGCGCGGGAGGGTTAGTTATAGTGACAAGTTGTGATGGGGATTGCAAGGGTTGGGTGATATCGCCGTATGTATGTATGTATGTATATATATATATTGATATTGTATTTGTGTAAAGCGGTTTTGATGGAGAGAGGTTGTGGTTAATCTGTCTGCACACACAAGACAATAAATGATGAAATACAGGAAGTTGTTCTCAGTATCCGGATATATTTTCTCGTCACCCGATAGATAGTAGTTAACTAGAGATTCAAAAATGGGTTGCGAGCGACACAGCCACACCGATAATAGATCATTCAGCTCCGCAATCTCAAGAGATCGCGGGACAACAAGCCAATCCCTAACCTTTTCTACGCAGTAAGCTACACCCGGGCGACAAATTGTGGCTGCAATGACGAATGGCGTGGGTTGTTTTTTGTCTTGGAGCAATGCGTAATAACAAACAAAGGACTCAGCCACACACACACTACTGCGTACGGCTGCGTATAACCACGACAAACTCCTCCTCCATACATTTTTGGCTCTCTACTAGAGAAAACGAGAAGACGAACCACGCGCACTTCAGTCTCCAGCCTCCAGGAGCCCGCATGGAGCCCGCGTGGCGTTGAGAATTGGCGTTTTACACCACGGAAAGAAGTAACCAAAATGCCAGCTGAGCTGAGGGTTTTTTAGCCTTTATTTTATGCTTGAACGGCGGTGAGTACGGCGGGACTACAAATTATCAACTTATTACAAACTAACTACGGAATACATGGCGTTGTCGCTGTGAGTAACAGTAACTGATGGGGATTTATTATTTACGAAGTAGAGGAATGGAGTTGGCAAGATATTTTTTTTGAGTTTCAAAAGCCTTGATTGAATGAATGTGGATAGTTAGTTATTGATTGCTGCTTAATATAAGTTAGCACAACAGCAATTAACTGCCCTCCCTCTGGTGTTGGCAATAATAAGTAGGATAGATTGTATGGAAAGATGATGTTGGGATCTTTTTTGGGGGAGAAAGCAGACGGATTTGCAGGAACTCTTCAGCATTTCATTTCAAGCATGCGAGAGTTAGTGTTATAGACAAAGGAGGGGTCATAGGTGTTAGACAGAGCTGTCTGTCACTGTCAGACAGTAGTTAGTAGTAGTAGTAGTACATACAGACTAGTTACTCCGTACATTCCTCTGATCTGAGGGGGTACAAGACCATACAAGATCAGTCAGTCAGTCAGTCAGTCAGTCGGTGTTGGTGGTTAGAAACCCTCATTCCTCATCCACTCCGACCCTGATCCCCTCCCTCGACGCTGTAATTCTTCCATTATTATTATTATTATTATTATTATTATTATTATTATTATTATTATTAATTATTCTACAGTAGTTACAACTTTCGACCCGAGTTCCCGCTCTTCAGAATCATAAACCCCCGGTCGCAACAAGCATTAACTGACAAGCACCAGTACAGTACAGTAGTTCTTAAGTTGGAGCTGGGATCATGGATACAACAATCATCCATTCCTGTCATGGCCCTCTAGCCCAGACTAACCTCTAGTTCCGCTGCTAGAACTGCTGTGGACTCTGACACAACAACTAGCCTGAAGGAGACATCGGGTGGGCGTCATATCGCGCCTCAGTGGAAACAATGATTTTTTCGGGAGTCATTCTTGTCGGCAAATTCTGGGCTGAGGATTCAAAGCATCCTATCGAAGTAGATGCGGGAAAGTGTTATGTATGGGATGCATCTTGCTATGGAAGTGGATGTGGAAGTGGATGTGGAAGTGGTGGTGGTGGTGGCAATGACTCGGCGCAAGAACCTTCACAACACTTCTTAGTTAGTTACGTCTTCTTTTGATATGGATAACTACTGCGTACAGGACAGTGTGACTGGTTAACTGGTTTTGGTGGTGGTTAATAAGTTGGTGATGACCGTGATTGATGTGCCTAGCGGTGATTCTATACGAAGACGGTCGGTCAGTAATCAGTGATCAGTGGTCATGCTGGGGGAGGGTTTGCCTTTTTTGTTTTTTCTGTTTCTTCTTCTTCTTGATAACTTAATTATTTTATATGAGATAAATAACTTAATAGTTATCAGCGTATACCCCATGAATAGCCAGTATTATTATTACGGCTGTATCCCATCATTCCCATCATCCTCCCTCTCCCACGTCATCGCCCTCCCAGCGGCCCCCGGAACCAGTTTGAATTTCTTCGCCGGCGCCACGAATAAATAACTTAAATAATACACTAACAAAGTTAGCGGCCTTGCGGGATCCTGATTCCTGGTCCTGAGCTTAATTAGTTATTTTAATTATCGGCTCGGCGGTTGTTGTTCTTGAAACCCAGAGTTAGATTATTTATAATAATAAGAATAAGAATCCCCTTCAATCCCGCGAACTACTTTACTCTTGAAGAACACGATCACCCGCCCGGTTGAGAATCGCCAAATTAATTCTTTTTATTTAAAATCACTCCCCCCCCCCCCCTCCTCTATCAAACCTCCACTCGACGCTCGTAAAGCTGATCGACTGGAAAAGTAATTCTTATTATTAGATCTCAGGTATCGCAGATCTATCGGATAATAAATAGCTACAGCTCAAAACACTGGAGAATATCAACGTCAGGATCAACTCCGCCATGCAGAACATCATTGTCGGCCTACGAGGCGCTCAGGTCGTCCTGGCCATCATCATCCTTGGCCTGACTGGATGGGGTATGTTCAGCTTCAGCTCCATTCACATTAACTATATATAATATATATAATATATATATATGATTATATGATATAACTAACAAACCCCAACCAGTCGTCAACCGCACCGGCGGCAACTCCGACGAAACGAACTTCCTCCTCTTCGACTCCATCTGGACCTTCATCATCGCCGTCCCGTATCTCGTCCTCGCGCCACTCTACCTCCAGAAGTTCGCGCACAAGTACGCCCTCATCGCCGTCGAGGCCGTCACCCTGCTCTTCTGGTTCGCAGGCTTCATCGCCGTAGCCGCCGTGCTGCCGCCCACCTCGGTGTGCAGGCATTCATCCGTCTGCAAGGGCTTGCAGGCTGCCACGGTGTTTGGCGCGTTTGAGTGGTTGGTTTTTTTTTTTTTTTTTTTTTTTTTTTTTTTTTTTGTTTTTCTTTCTTGGATATAGGATATATATATATATATATATATATATATTCATGCTAATGTAAATTCCAGGCTCCTCTTCGTCGCCACGACCGTCCTCGTCGTCGTCCTCCCCATCCTGCGTGGTGGTGGCGATAGCACCCCAAAGCCCGAAGCCGCGGTCGACATGCAGGCGCATCCAGGCGTATAAAAAGATAAAATAATAAAATAATACTGAAAAAAAAAAAAAAAAAAAGAAAAAAGAAAGAAAAAACCCCAAACTTGGGAAAGACCAACAAATTTTTTTGTCCTCGGGCGAACCGAACCCGGGATCACCTCGAACCCCCGCCCCACCTCTTCCAAGTTTTTCGCCCATTTTTGCCATTTTGCTCCCCACTCACAAGTCACACTTCACGCGAAATTGTTCCCTTTCCCAACAGAAGGGAACTCCATGACGGAAACCCGGACGGGCCGTGTTCGGCTTTTCAAAAATATATATATATATATATTTGATATTAGCTATTTATGGGTGCGGTGCAGTGGACGTATGGTTTATTCATCATTTTCAAATCGATAATGATACTATGACGATGGATATGGGTATGGGTGGGATATGAATATGGAAGATGAAATATGGCTGGAAATTTGTTTTTTTTTTTTTCTTTTCTCTGTTTCTTTCCCCCCGATACCCATGTTATTCATGTTTTAAACGATGCCTGCGAATCCTTTCTATCCCATTCCACTGAGCCCTTTTTCACCCTGGTTTTAACTCTTATTTCTTTACTTATTTATTTTCCCACCGCTCACCTACCTACCTACCTACCTATTATTATCATCAATGTTGTGGATGGAAATATACCCCAGCCAGCTCACGAGTTTTACCATGTCTTCTACTCCGCTCCTTTTTTATCTACATAACCACGTAAATATATAATGAACCCCCAAATGCTGAACTTTTCCCAGTTTATGTTCACAGCCCTTTCCTATTCGAAATTTTTTTTTTTTTTTTTTGTTTTTCCCCGTTACTGAATTTTGCGTAATTGGGCTATTATTAGGTAGTTAACGTTATATATCTGTATACACATGCAAGCTGCTTATATGAGAAACCAGTGTGGAATAATGAAGGGAAGGAATTTTATGCCTCTGTACATACTATTAGTACTCCATATATGTATTTCTTCTGAGTTAGTTCTCACCTTGCTTGCTTGCTTGCAACCTGCCCTGTGTGCAGTTTTTCAACATCAGATATAACTATCCCATGCAGTCTGTAAGAAAAGAAGTGATATCAAACTAATGCATGATTTTTTATTTTTTATTTTTTATTCTTTCACTGCAATTGAGAACTCCTTTTCATCTTCTCTTTTAAGTCCTTCAGTTATCTATCATCTTTCATCATGCAAAGCAGTGTCTTTTTCTTTCTTGCATACACCACATGCATGTAAAGTGTCATGACCTCAAATGCAAAACACCCTCAAGTGCTCCTTCAATGATCCCTGCACGGATAGGAAAACATGTAATGTACAAGGCTCTGCAGTGATGAATATTCCCTGCTCCCTGAGTGCTCAGGCCTGTAGGAGGCAGATGCATTATGAAGGGAAGCATATTCTAATGTAATATATTATTATGTTTATTAATTCCATGTCAAATGATCTTTTTGAATCAAAGCCCAAAATAAATTTCTTCTTTCTATTAAATAATCAGTGCTGTGATATTGAATAAAAAGCTAACTCATTGGGAAAAGTAAATCCAAAATAACATAACTCACACATGAGAAAGCGAGGTAGGTAGCTACATAAATTGGGTGATTGCTCCTGTCAAATTAATCAATTCAAATACAAATTCCTATATCTATTACACGTCAACACAGCATATCTGGAATAAACAACCTACCCCTCTTCTTTCTCTTCTGCATCTCCTACGCGACTCACTCGTCCCATCCCAACACCCATTCAGTTCCGTTGGCCCCAATGATCAACCTGATATACAGCCAGCTAAATAATAAATTATTCTTCAAATCCCCAACCCCCAAATCCCAATCCTAATCCCAACCCTGGCTCAGTTTGCTAGGCAAAACGCATACATCGTCGATGCATGCGCACAAAACTCTTATGACTTCGACGCGAGGAAATCGGCCGCCTATAGTCGTAGAAAAAAAAACAACAATCGAGACGAAACACACTCAGCCATCCATCCATGTTGTTATGTTTTTTTGAATATATATATATATATATTAAAAAGCACAAAAGAACAAACAACAAAAGGCATCGGGAAGGGACATTGCATATGTTGTTGGGTGTCAACCCACCTTATCAAGATTATAGTCAAACTTCTCCAGCGCCGCCAACGACTCGTCCCGCGGATACCCCATCCCCGTTAACCGCTGTAATATCATATCATCCTCGCCTGTATCAGCACTCAGCGCCCATCCGGGCGGCTTGGCTTCCTTGCCTGGAGGTTGTGGGAAGGAGGATAGGGCTGCAGAATCGGATGATGGCTGTCCTCCTTCGGACGAGGTGGGCTTGTTTGTTTCTTTAGGAGATTTAGCAACTTTTGAGCTGTCTAGGACGGAGAAGAGCGCGTCCCAGTCCTGCGGGGCGGTTCCGGCAGCGGGCGCTGATAGACTTGATTGTTGTAGTTGTTGTTGCTGGTTGTTGTCGAAGGTGAAAAAATCGGCGTTCGTTGTGTTGTTGCCGGAACTTGCGCCTGTGGTGGCATTGGCGATTGTGCTGGACTTAGATGGTAAGCCCGGTGAGTCGAATGTCATGTCGAAGTTCGAGGAATCCTTGTTGAAGGGAGATTCGAAGTCGTCGTCGTCGTCGTCGTCATCATCGTCTTCGTCATCATCGTCCGCTTCCTTCGCGGGAGCAAGCTCTAAACCGGCAAATGCAGCCTCAAAATCGGGCGTTGTGGGCTTCTTGCCTGGTAGAGTTGGCTGAGAGGCTCCGGTGCTGTCTTTTCCCATGTGTGTCAACCTATTTGATGTAGGGGCCTCAGCTCGGGAGTTCTCCTTAGAGGGGCCCTGGCCATTCATTTCAGGAGGCGATGTACTCTGCGATGACGGAGGCGGGAATGGGTGAGGCGACGAGATGCCCCGGGAAACTTGTTCATTTTGTCGTGGCGGTGAAACTGGCGAGAAGTCATCATCGAACCCCTTGGCAGCTTCGCTATCTGTACTGTCGTCATCGTCATCAAGCTCTCGTATGGGAGGGAACTCGCTGGCTCCTTCCTTTGACTTCCCACCAGCTACTTCGGGGAACCCAGAATCACCACCGTTTTTCACTTTCATTTGCGCAAACGCCTCTTCAAAGTCGTTGGCCTTCTGAGACGGGGACCGCGCATGCGTGATGCCGCCAAATAACTCGTCAAAACTGGCATCCTTCTTTGTCGATGCGGCTTGCGCTGACTTTACGGGGAAGAAACCAGGAATATTGGACACCTCGGCTTCTTGTCCGGTTTGGCTTGTGCTTCCGTCGGAATCGCTAGACGGTTTCTCAAGTTTCGTCTCAGGCTTTGGATCTTCACTCTCAAATGGAGATTTTGCTGACGAGCTTGTATCAGGCTCCGAGGTTACCGAAGTCCCAAATCGGCTAGTGGGCGGGGAGGGCCTGACCGAAGAAGCTTCAGATGTCTGGTGGCCTTCAATAGGAAGCTGGCTGGATGAAATCTGCCGAGATTGTGGGGGAGGAGGGGGTTCGGCTGAGCTGGGGGAAGCTGATGGTGTGAGCGTGCCGGACGTATCCGACGTCCTAGCGGGACCAGCCGCCAGTGGAGTTTGTTGGGCTGGCGACTCCGTTCGGAAAGTCGTCGGCGGTGGTGGAGTGAAGGTTGAAGGCACGGTGAACGATGGTCCGAATACATTGTCAAACACACTCTGAGCGTCTTTTGAGGGTTCTTGAGAAGATGATGATGGCGGTGGAGGAGAAAATGAATTATCGGATACACTTGCGGTTCGTCGGAAAAACGGGTTTGTTTGGCTGGCAGTTGAAGGAGCAGGGCTGGCGATAGGAGGAGGTTGCGAAGCAGACGATGGTAGTTCAGATGCTTGACGCTGTAACTCGTCCACCTCCATAGTCGTACTATCGATTTCACCCTGGATTCGATCCCCGCTCACCCTCAATAGTCGCAAGCTGTTTTTTGTTAATGGCTACCAGGCCCTTCTGTTGACGAGCTGCGGACCGGGCTTTATCTAGAAGCGGCTTCAATTGACTAACTTGTGCGTTAGCCTGCCGGATTTGTTCCTTGAGACTAGCATTCTCACGTTGGTCAGCGTCCAGGGCAGCATTCACTTGGTTATACTGGTTTTGCAGATCCTGGCGGCTAGCCTCGATCAAGGCAAAATCTTGCTGAAGCTTTTTTGTTTCCGTGCGAGACGCTGTTAATCGATCTTCTAGAGCCTTGAAATCCTTTGCTTCCTGCTCATACATTGCTCTTGCCTGCGCAAGGCGAGCCTCGAAGTCCTTCTTCTGTTGACTGTTTTGGGCTAGATCCTGTTCCGCTGCCGCACGTTTCCCCTGCACGTTCTGCATCTCTCTCGACAAGCTACCGATCTGATTGGAGAGATTGGCTAAATCTACAGATTCCTGGGATAGCTTCTTGCTCGCTTCAACATCTACATTCGCCAACAAATCATCTGCAGACGGTGGTGGAGATCGCTGTTGTACCGGTGCGTTCGGCAAGCCAGTGGTATGTGGGGTAAGGCTCTGCCCAAAACTTGAGGAGGGGACGAAGGGCTTGAATGTTGACGTCGCACTCGCGCTAAGCGGCGACTGAGTGAGTGATGACGGAGGCTGGAGAGCAGGATTCGAGCCACCTGTAGTCTGTGCCACTTGGACCGGGGCTCCGAAAACGTCGAGTCCGAATAAATCCTCTGCCGCGGAGCGTTGGGCTGTATTTTGGGGGACAATTCCAGCTGCTGGAGCTGGAGGTGGAACTTGGCGTCGCATACTTGGAGGAATCAAAGCTGGGGGTAATGCTTGCGGTAAAGGTTCTCGGGTAGTGCGCTGTTGCCGAACCAGGTACATGGCAACAGCAAACTCATCCTTGCTCAGCTGCCCGTCAGAATCGATATCAGCCAGGTCCCAAATAGAAGCCAACGTTTCCTCCGGCAACTGCGCATTAGTGAAGAATTCAACAGCCTGATCGCCAGTAATGTATCCCAGGTTCGCTTTATCAACAGTTCCAAACACCGTATCAAAGTGCACTTTTTCTTGTGGGGTGATCATCCAATCACCACCAGTGGACTGCGTGGGAATGGTTGACTGGAACTGTGGCGGCCGGTTGAGTGGGCTTTGAGCTCGCTGGGTTCCCGATCCGCTGAACTGCTTTGGAATTGCGGGTACGGGAGGTATGTCTGAGGACGATCGCGAGCTGGTCGATGTGCGGACTCCTCCACGCCGAGCAGCTGCATCGTACAAACCTGGAGGTAAGCTCTGCGGTAATATTCTCATCGTACCATTCCTGTACGCGCTTAACAAATGCATGGCGATAATGAACTCTGTCGCATCCAACGCGCCTCGCTGTTTCGTATCAGCCAAATTCCAGATTCTACCCAAAATTTCGTTCGGCAGTCTTGCTCGTTCGAATATCTGTTTCGCATGTTCACCTGTATTTTGTCCGTGTGTTGTAAGCTTCTGTGTTCGGTCCAACCTACCCAGGGACTGGCTTTCGAAAAAATTAAGTACCTGAGAGGAGCCCATTCTGAACCTCCGATCTCTCAAACAGGGAGGTGAACTTTGTAACATCCTCGGGGACCAACGGCGGGACCCTAACGGGGCCGGCTCCGGGGGGAGGGCTGGATGCGATAGGCGGCGGAGCCTGCGGGGTAGGCTCCATAATATCTTTGCTCAAGCCCGAAAACTTTGGTAGAGGACCGGCTGAATTGGGGGAAAGCCAAGTAAGCCTCAAAGCAGACAAGTGTGAATGACGATGATGCCTTGTGAGAACAAAGAAGATGAGGGGGATGGGTCGACTTACGCTGCAGAGCCAATTCTTCTGTCGGGGCGCGGCCCGCCTGCGCATGTCCGATCAATCGCATAACTACTCCAAACCCAGACGGGGTAAGAAGTCCACGGTTCTGTGTATCTGCAATTTGCCATATCTACATTCCACCCCGACACAAAAGAGAAAAACAAAAAAAAAAAGTCAGAATATTCAATCTACGTTTCTCCCCCTTCCGGATCTGTATGACTTTCACAGAAAACTTACCAAACCCAATGTCTCCGGTGGGAGACTGGTCTTCTCAAAGAAGGAAACGGCCACTTCACCAGTCACGACGCCGAGATTCGTCTTATCTGCTACTTGGAACAGTTTATAAAACACGCGCTTCTCCTCCGGCGTCAGGTTCAGGTTCGGATGGCCTGCATTATGAAGAGGCAAAACAAACAGGAGATTCGTCAGCACACTGTAGGAAGAGCTAGAAATAAGATGTAGGGCGTAGATATAAACGACATGTTGTCATGCGCTGATAACAAGTGTTCATACGGGCAGGACGTAGGTATGTCGGGATGCTATGCGATCTCACTCACCTCCGTCCGTCATGGTGTCAAATCAGCACCCCTTTTTATTCGTTCTCTCCCATAAACAGTGTATTTCCGCGAGTGCTTTTTTCACAGCTGATATGTTTTGCTTTTTCGTATGCGCAGTCGGGGAAGATAGAGCCCGGGGTAGATCACGGAATTGGCGGATAGCATGGAATAAAAGGAACCGCGTAATGAGAATCAGGGGGTGGAGAGCCACCCGAGAAAGATGGATGGGAGGGTGGCGTGGATAGAGGAGCGCAATAACAAAAACCGAAGGCAGATAGGGGGGAATTAATCAATGCTTCACTTATGCAAGTGGAGCATCTGGCTGTGATATATATAGGAGACGACAGCGGCTGCGGTGGTGAGGCACGTACCAAACAGGTAGTTAACTCAGGCGCAGTTGAGCCGGAGCAACATTGAAACAGTCAGCAAACCTGAATTGTGCTAGTGTACTCCGTAACTAGTAACTTAATGTAATCAAATCACTCAACACTTGTTTTCACACCATTTCATGATTACTACAATGAAATCTCTTAATGTTATAAAAAAACCAACTTTTCCATGTAAAAAACACTGTAATATAACATCACATACACTTCATTAAAATATTTAAATGTTCTGACTCATATAGCTCAGATTAATCTTCAAATATTTATTCTTTTTTCATTCCGCACTTTTCATACTTTCTTTACAGTATTTACATTTCTTATACATTTCTTTATATTCATTTTTAATCTTTGTTATTATTATTATTATTATTATTCTTCAATTATAGATGTATGTAGTCAGACACTATGACATCTATCTGAGAACTTTTAGTTCTCAGAGTTTTTTTTCTAATATTCATAAAGTTAACTATTATACATTTATCAATTTCAGATATGTAAAATCAGAAAATTCCAGCTCAGAATATAAAAACTTTTTACAAATTGCAGTATTTTAACACCTTCTGATACTTTGAAATCATTTGAAAATATTATGATAAAAGAAAAGAGAACAAAGTCTTAACAATAGTCATATTAAATCAGTAAATAGAAAAGAATAGAAAAGAAAAGAAAAAGTAAAAAGAGACTATAATAAAATAAAATTATTAAAAGATAGTATATAGCTGTTTTAACAGACTATATCTGATCAATTTTCACCTTTTCATATTCAGATATTTCTGAATTCAGTTATTTTCTTATAACTGCTTGAGTTTCTGATAGAAAGTCTATTAAGTATTTAATTTCTATCTCAGTTAAGAATAAGAATCTTATATTTAATTAATTTAAATCATACTTTTCTTTCAATCTGACTCTGAGACTATTGTATAATACACAATACATTATTTTAATCTTTGTATTCATAGCATGTATTACTTAACACTCTGTAACATGATTTCATATCATATTATATATAAGAGGTCTACACTGAATAGAGCGGTATTATATTGATAGGTCTTATATAACAAAGAGAAAAATGTTAGAGAAGGAAAGAAAGAGAAAGTGTAGAAATCAGCAATTAAGATGAATATTTATACATGTATATAATGACTGAGAATCAGTGATTGAGAATGGCTGAGAACTGAAGTGTATATGTTCAAGAGTGAAACAGAAGAATGTATGAAGTATGATGAAATAGTCTATATAATTGATCAGGCACAGCCTGTCACATTAGCCTTCTTCTTTCAGAAGCAGTTCTCATCAGTCAAGAGTCACTATTTCAGATAACACAGAACTCAGAGTTCAGGTCAGTTAATTGTAGCTGACTTATTTCATAAAATATTACTGACTGTAACTGTGAGATCTCTCATTGAGAATATTCTCAATCTCTCACTCAAGCTCATTATCTTCTTCTATGATGTCTGATGACTGTCAGTCAGAAGTCAGCTGAGAAGAGAATGAATCAGTGACAGTGTGACAGAGTAAGCTTGTATAAAATACATCATGAATCTCTGATAATATGTTAAGACAGTAGTTATAACTATCTAGAACTTCTATCACTTTATATCTAATATAATGATAATCTAGTGTATAAGATGAATATATAATTTATATATTCTGAAGATTCAATCATATCAGATCTTCTATCTTATATTGTTCAGCAGAGTCTCAGTGAATATTAATTTAATTCTCTTAATCTTGTTTCACAGTTATTATGAAGATCTCTGTTCAATCACAGATATTTCAGAGCTTTGTTACTATATTATCAGTGATTTGAATCAGACTACAGAGATTTGATGTGAACTGTATAATCTCTAGAAGATTCAATAAATGTCAAGCTTTTATAAGAACTCTCTTTCATAACTCATCAGATTCAGATTCAGAGGAAGAGAATATATCACTTCTCAACTATATTGATGAAAATGACTGGGAATGGCCTGATCTTACTCAAGATGAATTAGAGTCAGTTATCTTCTCAAGTTCAGTTAAGACTGCTGCAGAGCCTGATTCAATTAATCACTTGATTATTCAAAATACATACTTCTACTTAAAGAATGAATATTTTGAGCTCTTTTTCAATCTCTTGAAAAATGGATATCATTCTGAATGCTGGAGAGAAGCCACTGAAGTGATTCTTATAAAATCTAATGAAAAAACTTCAATTCTTAAGTCATATAGAGTAATATCTCTATTGAACTGTCTAGAAAAGGTTTTAGAAAAGATAATAGCTACTCAACTATCTTTTATAAGCTCTATCAGTAATTCTCTTTTATTCAGTAAATAAATGAGAGATAGAAAACAGTATTCTGCAATTGACACTGTTCTCTCAGTTGTTTATAATATTTAAATAGCAAAGCATAAAGATCTGGTCTCAACTGCAGTTTTTATTGATATAAAAGAAGATTTTGATCATGTTTCAAAGTCAAAGTTAATTCAGATATTGAAGATGTTAAAACTGCCACTTTCTCTAATAAAATGAGTTAACTGTTTTATATCTAAAAGAATTATACAACTTTTCTTTGATGGAATGAAACAAGACAAGACTGAGATAAAAATAAAAGTACTGTAAGAATCTTCAATCTCACTCATTTTATTTGCAATATACACTGCATATCTATTCAAAAATAGAAATATGAGAATAGTGCAATCTTCAAGTTATATAAATGATATTGATCTAGTCTACAGCTCAAAAACTATCAAAGATAATTTAAAAGTGATTGAAGAAGCTGTAAAGAAAATCTTTGTTAGAGTAGATATCAATTAAATTCAATTTGATATGAATAAAACTGAGTTAATTCATTTCTTTTCTAGATTCAATGAGAAAGAACTATCTCTAACTCTTTTAAATAGAGAGATTTAACCCAGTGTTAATATCAAATGATTAGAAGTATGATTAAACTTCAAGTTGAATTTTAAATATTACATTCAACAAAGAACTGTCAAGACAGAAAGACTATTGAACAATATAATCAGACTATCAAATACAGAGAGAGGTCTATTCTTTCAGGCTATGAGACAGTTATATATATTTGACCGCTCCACCACGAACTCGCTCGATTTTTCGAATAAGAACCCGCCGATAGATCCATTGAAAAGCCCTCGATCATACAAGCATTCTGACCCCATCGCCGACCGCATACCCTGTGTAGTGGTGGAGTTATCCAGCCAAACGTGAACCGGACGTTGTTTGAAACTCCTGTGTGGGATTATCCCCCGTTCTCCCCTACCACACCACAACCCCGGGCCAGAGTGCCATACAAATTGTAAGATGAAGTGACCTAGCCATATGCACCAATCTTCTCGATTTTGGAAGATCCCTGACCTGTAGTTGTGGAGATATCCAAGGAGCAACCTCCGCGAAAACCCTGTCCATCTTTGATGTTCCAAAACACCAATGCCAAGTCTCACCCTCGTACCGCCCTTCCCAATCTGGCCCATCCCCAGCAGAAAAATACAAAAAGATACCTCAGTGATAATATCAAGCACATAATCAACAGACTCTTCTGAAGTGCAATCTCCACAGTCTGTCACCAGTGTATCTAGACTTCAACACCAAGTCTCACCCTTGTACTACCCCTCTCAATCTGGCCCATCCCCGGCAGAATGATACAAAAAGATACCTTGGCAACAGCATTCAATACATAATCAGTGAACAATGAGTCAACAGCACATCAACAACTATAAAATCAGTATATTTCAAGATCTGACTGAGCCTTTGATCTCTGCACAGTGAGATATATTAAATCTAGTTTTAATATCTCAATATTCACTAGATTCTGCAAGAAATTGAGAACAGCAACACTAGATTTCTATTAAATTTGAAAATTAACTCTATATTAATATAATCATTGATAAAGTCTTCTATTTTGAGATATAAATAACCAGTTTCTCTACATCCTGCTGACAATATTTATATTATTATATAGAAACAGACTTATATTCTCTATAATATCAAGACTCTGAAGAGAGAAAGTCTTGATAGAGAGTATACAGTAGTACATATCTTAGCAGTTTCTATCTCATTCTTCTGTAGCAGTTAATGCAAAAAAAAAAAGATCTTAGAAATAGTTTTTTACTTCTCTTGAAAAAGTAAGATGTTTTTCTCTGAGTTTTACACAATATTCTTTCAAAGAATTAAAAACAGAGTTGTTTTCTATTATAATTTCATATTCTTTTAAGTAAGAATTACTTTTTCAGTGACTGAAGAGCTTTTATTAATACTTAATTCTTTTTTACACTCTTTATTAACTGATTTGAGTTGCACACTTATTGTGTGAGAAGAATTGAATGATTTAGAATAAAATTGAATAGTTTTAATCAATTTCTCTGTAAAAAATTAATTTATTTTTTGTCAGTTTTTCTCTCAAAAACTGTCATATTATCTGATTTATTATCAATTGATATCATACTTTTTCTCACTGTATCCCAAGAAAGAGATTGTAAAGATTTTATTGATTTATCTCAAAAATTAATTTTAGTTTATTAGATTCTCTTCAAAAATCTAATCTAGTTACTGAACTAGTGTGAAAAAAATCAGGTATTTTATATACAAAAGTCTTTTATTCTTCTTTTGAAACAGTCTGACCAACTTTTC